ATGTATGATATGGTTTGTATGACAAATATTTCCATACATTGTATGGATTTTCTAAAATTTAAAATTTCGTCAGCTATCTCATTTAATTTTACCAGAATTTGAAAATCTAGCTTTACATCAAAAATGCATATGCATCGACCTTTCCCTAGGTTAGAAAAAAAAAAAATATCATTTTTTTCTGAATTAACCGAATAATAAAGTTTTTAAATTTTTTAATTCGATTAATATTAATTATTTTAATTATAATTTTTTTTTTCAGATTCATGACTTTCATAAAGACTTTTTTTCATTTTTTTTTTTTTTTAAAAAGATTTCTTTCGAGTTAGGTCACCGTAAATTTTCACTTTTCTTTTTTGATTACCACTTTTTTTTAGATGATTTCTCTTTAATTGAACTTTAGGTCGCGTAAGTTTCTTTTATCTTTAATTAAAGTTTTTATTTAGGCAGTTAGATCGCTGCAGACCGTCTTTCATTTTGCTTTTAGTTTCTGGGTTCGATCACTTGGACGCAACGATGGCCATTTGAAGATTGGTGTGATTTTATTTTTCGATATTTCATTGTTATTTTTCCCAAATCCAATAATGCAATATATCATGAAGCAATGCTTTGATAACGATAGTGGACCGTTTGAATAACGACTCGGACTTCCCTGGTTTGATTATTTATAAAAAATAATAGCAATAATAAACAATAGTTTCGATTTTTATACCTAGTAGTATTCGACTTTCAAATATTCCTAAAGATTAGAGTATTTATTGAAGAAAAAAATAACTTGATATAGCAAGTCTAATCCGATTAAGTTATCGTTAATCTATCTAATAAAAAATATTTATGAAGATAAAATTTTATTAATTAATGATGATCTATTTGCTTTATAGTTGTGGGGCAAAACCCTAATCCCATTTTGATAAAAGTTGAAACTTTTCAGAAATTATTTCGACAGTTTCGATCGATAGTTTCGATGGGTTTCGAAAGTTTCGGCAGTTTCGATAACAACTTTGCGAATTTGACGGTTTTATTGTATCACTATGTAGAAATATAAAAATCGATTTTTTTTTTTTTTTGCTTTTTATTTTAAATTAGAACAAAGTTTCCAAAATAATACAATTTGGAAGCACTGGTACTTG